ATATAAGACCAGAAACAGGAACTGACTGTTATTAAGGGTTCAAGAGGAAGGTAGAAAACTATGTCCTGAAATTCTTTAAAAACTACCTCCATGTTTTGTCATCTCTAAAATACTTTGAAATACCAGTCATTGTAGTTATAACACACACACATGCATCCCAAAAGAGTCATTTCTAAGGCATTCCCTGAGATTTGTTGTTGTTGTTGTTAAGTACCATGGAGTCGGTTCCAACTCATAGTGATGCTGTACAGGGTTTCCGAGGCTGTAAATCTTTACTGGAGCAGAAAGCCTCGTCTTTCTTCCGTGGAACGGCTGGTAGTTTCGAACTGCTGACCGTGAGGTTCGCAGCCCGATTCGTACCCACTACGCTACCAGAGCTCCCTGAGGTAGTATCAAGTTATATAACAGAAACTCCCCATTTTGAAACTGGAAAAAGAACCAGAGGATATATTATTTACCTATGGAAACATATGGAGTCCTGGTGTGGCTCTGTGGGTTAATGTGCCAGACTGCAAAGCAGTTTGAACCACAAGGTCGGCGGTTCAAGCTCACCAGTCACTCCTCAGAAACCTTATACAGGATCGCTATGGGTCAGAATTGGCTCGACTTCATTTAACAACAACAACAACATGGCAATATATTGGAGATAGACCTTGGGATAGAGTTTTCTGCCAGGACCTAAAACACAAGTGGGTCTAGGTGACTGCATCAGAAAGTTCTGGAAATCCAACTATTACAAGTGTCTCAGGAGATTCATGAACAGGAATATTGGGGACTTCAGTGCTATAATACTCTGCTGCAGACTTCAACAAAAGTTAGCCTTTTCATAATTGTCAAACTATCAAATCATCAAACACAAAGGCCATGACATTCTGACGTAAAGATCGGGGCAAAAAGTCTCAGAGATTAGAAAGCCAGGGTTTCAAGCCTCAAATCCCTTAGGCCAATCCCGTTTGGGTATAGGCAGGCCCATGCCACATTCATGGCTTACAATAACCATCATCCAGAATGTTCATCATGAATGGGACTGTTTCTTCCCATTCCTATTGCAATCCCTGTAAACCTACAGAGACTAGTACTAAGCATACAGAAGTTGAAGAACAGCCCAACGTGAAGAAATGTGATAGATAATAATCCAACCAATTTTTACCCATTTATTTTATTTTGTTGGCCCAAACTGCCTAGCATGTAATATATAGTTTAAATTACCACTCTTCTCTGATGTCCAATATCAGTTATACCTTACCACTGTTGTTCAGTTCCCCCAAGCCAAGACATAACTGAGGATAAGGATGCAAGATGGTCTTTAGGAGTTTGTTTAGTAAAACAGAACAAGCCCGACACCAAATCAAGTCCAATAAATATTACTCACCATCAAACCTGCTCCTATAATTCCTGGGAGCCACCATTCATAGCAAGAGATGGGGTTCTGAAAGGGTACATCCTCATCAATTACGTTGACAATGAGAGGTATGGCATTGAGAACTACCCCGGCCAGAAGCAGAAGCAGCAGGCTGAACCCATTGCAGGATGTCCATCCCTCACAGCAGGTCATGGTCACCCCGGATCAGTGAGAAGCCACGTCCAAGTAGCTGTGTGTGTGGCACTGCCTTGCTTTTTATCCGGAAGCTTCTGGTTAAAGTTTAGCATAGATGAAAAATGAATTACGGAAAACAGTTCAGAGTCCAATAGAGCACGGTAGTCTTACAGGGAGTTTTACAGGAACTAAGGAGAATTGTATATAATGGAAGGGAAAGGAAGGCGGAAAACAAATCTATGGTTCTGTTAGGTAAATGTGCACATGAAAATAGGCCGATAAAAACTAAACACAGGTGGGGAGGGGGAAGTTTTATAGCGAAAGATGAATAGTTTACTGCCAAGCCTTTTAAAAATAAAAAATGAGAAGTTGTTATCAAGTGCCGTTGAGTTGGTTCCAACTCAAAGTGACCCTGCATGGGGTTTCAGAGCTTATAAATCTTTGCAGAAACAGAAAGCTTCAACTTTCTCCTATGGAGTGGCTGGTGGGCTTGAACCACCAACTTTGTGGTTCGCAGTCCAGTGAATATCCTACAGAGCCACAGCACTCCCTAAAAAATGCGGATTACCCACTTAATATAAACTACTTTTTCTCTGGTTTTGTTCACATTATTGCCAGTTAAGGACGTTTTTTAAAGTCTACAAATGGCACAAAGGGTTTGAGCTTCTCTAATAACCTAAGGGTTGGCCAATAAACAACATTCTTACCAATGGAGAAAAGACTGAAGTCGTCAAGGACTTCATTCTTCTTAGATCAGCTATCAACACTCACGGAAGCACCAGTCAATAAATCAAATGACGTATTGCATTAGACAAATCTGCTGCACAAGACCTTTTGAAAGTGTTGAGAGCAAAGATGTCAGTTTGAGGACTAAGGTGCACCTGACCCAAGCCATGGTATTTTCAATAACCTCATATGCATGTGAAAGCTGGACAGTGAATAAGGAAGACCGTAGAAGAATTGATGCTTTTGAGTTATGGTGTTGAAGGTGAATACTGAAAGTGCCATGGGCTGCCAAAAGAACGAACAGATCTGTGTTGGAAGAAGTGCAGCCAGAGTGCTCCTTGGAGGCCAAGATGGCCAAACTTCATCTCTCATATTTTGGACATATTGTCAGGAGGGACCAGTCACTGGAAATGGATATCATGTTTGGTAAGGTTAAGGTGGAGGGTCAGAGAAAAAAAGGAAGACCCCCAATGAGATGGATTGGCCAAGTGGCAGCATCGATGGACTCAAGCGTGGCAACAGTAGTGAGGTTGGTCCAGGATCATTCTGTTGTGCGTAAGGTCGCTGTTGGTCGGTACCGACTCGATGGCACCTAAAAACAACAACAAGAAGTGTTGTTGGTTCTAATTTACCCAGTGGTAATTTGAGAGAAAGATCTAGCAATCTGTTTCTGTTAAAGATTATAATCAAAAACCCAAAAAACAAAAAACCCAACCCCCCGCTCTAGAAGACTTTTACCCTGGAACAGCAGACAAGGTCACTGTGATATTTAATTGCCTTGATGGCAAAAGATTTTTTATGAAAGTTCCTTATTGCTGAAATTGTGCAACAAGAAAATGAACATATTTGAGCCTGGGATAAAAACATTTTTTCTGTTGCAAATACCCTCGATTAATCAAAATACTAGGACTCAGTTCTAGGTTTTAGGATTTAGTAGACATTCAATACAATGTTTTTGATGTCGCATTATCCCAATCTTATAGACAAATCCATTTTGAGATGTTGTTGTTGCTGTTGCTAGGTGCCGTGGAGTCAGTTCGGATTCATAGTGACCTCGTACAGGGTTTCCGAGGCTGTAAATCTTTACGGGAGCAGAAAGCCTCATCTTTCTCCCACAGAACAGCTGGTAGTTTTGAACTGCTGACCTTAAGATTAGCAGGCCGATTGGTAACCACTACGCTACCAGAACGCCCACCTAAAACTGGTGGGAGGTTTGTCCTGTGCTGCCAAGCTGAATGTGATCAAGGATGGAAACCAGAATGGACACTAGGAACAGGAAAGCGAATGCACTGGAAATGATTCCACCTTACCATCTTTGACTCATCTTCTGGTCCAATTTCAGACAATGTCCTGCTATTATTCATGAGGTTTTTCTGTGGCTAACCATTCAGAAACGGTCTGCCTCTCCATCTTCCTTGGACTCAGGAGCATTTGCTTGACCATGAAAAGTACGTTCTATTCTGGAATGTGGTTCCATATTGTCTTTCTACTAGTTTGTGAGATCTTCAAGAAATTGTTCTTCCAGATAAGATTGAATTTATGCTAACTGGTCACATGGATCAACAGGGGGCTTTGACTAGTAGTTCCTGAGAGTACCAAAAAAGATGAAGCTTTCATTTGATCCAGATGTCCACATTTGTAGAGTCCAGGTAAAAGAGTGTGGGGAGTCATATATACGGCAGTCCATGGCACTTCTAACGTTCTTCTACATCAGAACTCACATGCAGCAATTCTTCTATGTTCTTCCTCATTCATTGTCCAGCTTTCAAATGCATATGAGGTTAATGAAAATACCATGGCTTTGTCCAGGTGCACCTTAATCCTCAAACTGACATCTTTGCTCTTCAACACTTTAAAGAGATCTTCTGCAGCAGATTTGCCTAATGCAATAAGTTGGTTGATTTCGTGACTGCTGCTCCCATGAGTGTTGATGGTTAATCGTAGCAAAATGAATCTTTGACAACTTCAACCTTTTCTCCATTTATATGGATGCTATTTGTTGGTCTAATTCTGGAGATTTTTGTTTTCTTTACATTGAGATACAACCCATATCCAAGGATGTGGTGACGATCTTCATCAGTAAGCATCTTAAATCTTCTTCACTTTCATCAAACAAGAGTGTATTATCTGCATAGTGCAATTTGTTAAAGAGTCTTCCTCCAATCCTGATGCCATGTTCTTCTTCATATAATCCAGCTTCCCAGATTATTTGCCCATCATATAAGTATGGTGAAAGAGTACAATCCTTGAGCTTAGCTTTACTAATTTTAAACCATTCGGTGTTCCCTTGTTCTGTTCAAACAATGTCGATGTGCAGGTTCGTCATGAGCGTGATACTTATTCTGGAACTAATTCTCCGTAATTTTGTCCATAGCTTTGTCATGATCCACACAATCAAAAACCTTTGCATAGTCGATAAAGCACAAGTAAACATCCTTCTGGTATTCTGTGTTTTAAACCAAGATCCATCTGATAACAACAACAATATACCTTGTTCCATGTCCTCTGATTCTGGCTTGAACATCTGGAAGTTCTCTGTCATTGTATTATTGCAGTTGTTTTTGAACCATCTTTAGCAAAATTATACTTGCCTGTGATAGTTATGATATTTTCTGATGACTTCTGCATTCCATTGGGTAAACTCTCTTTGGAATGGGCACAAATATGGATCTCTTCCAATCAGTTAACCAAGTAGATGTCTTACAAATTTTTTAATATAAATGAGTAAGTGCCTCCAGTGCTGCATCAGTTTGTGGAAAGATTTCAGTTGGTATTCAATTAATTCCAGGAGCCTTGTTCTTTAACAATGCTTTCAGCGCACCTTGGACTTTTTCCTTCAGGATCATTGGCTCTTGATTATATGCTACCACTTGAACTATTTGAACATCAACCATTTCTTTTTGGTATAGAGACTTTGTATATTCCTTCCATCTTCTTTTGATGCTTTCTGCATCATTCAATATTTTGCTCATGGAATCCTGCAGTATTGAGTTTTCCCTTCAGTTCTTTCAGCTTGAGAAATGCTGAGTGTTCTTCCCTTTTGGTTTTCTACTCCCAGTCTTTGAACATTTCATTATAATATTTGACTTTGTCTTCTCAAGCTGAACTTTGAAATTTTCTGTTCATCTCTTTTACTTTGTCGTTTCTTCCATTTGCTTTAGCATCTTTATGCTGGAGAGAAAGTTTCAGAGTGTCTTCTGACATCCATTTTGGTCTTTTCCTTCTTTCTTGTCTTCTTAATGATCTATTGCTTTCTTCCTGTCTGATATTCTTGATGTCATCCTGCAACTCTTCTGGTCTTCAGTCATTAGTGTCTAATGCATCAAATCTGTTCTTGAGATGATCTCTAAGTTCAGGTGGCATATGTTCAAGGTCATATTTTCTCTCTCATGGGACTGTGTTCATTTTCTTCAGCTTTAGCCTGAGATTGCATATGTCTGTTTCACAGTCTGCCCTTGGCCTTGCTTGGCTGATGATATGGAGCTTTTCCATTGTTTCTTTCCATAGATGTAGCCAATTTGATTTTGTGTATTCTATCTGGTGAGTTCTATGTCTTTGATATAATTTTTAAAGGTATTTGCAATGAAGAAGTCATTTGTCTTGCAGCATTCTATCATGGGAGCTCCAGAATCATTTCTATCATCAAGGCCATATTTTCCAACTACTCATCCTTCCTCTTTGTTCCCAACATTTACAGTCCAATTGCCAGTAATTAATAATACACCTTGATTGTATGTTTGATCAATTTCAGACTGACAAAGTTGGTAGAATTTTTCAATTTTATCATCACTAGCTTTAGTGGTTGGTGCATGAATTTGAATAACAATGATATTAACTAATCTTTCTTGTAGGTATACTGATATTATGCTATCATAGACTGCACTGTACTTCAAGATAGATCTTGAGATGGGTGTCAGAAGAGATAATGAAATTTGCTTTCCAGAAATTGGAAGAAATGATGAGGTAAAAGAACTGAATAGAAATTTTCATAAGGAATCTCAAAAAGACAAAATAAATATTACAATGAAAAGTGCAAAGATCTGGAGTTAGAAACCCAAAAGGAAAGACTATGCTCAGCATTTCACAAGCTCAAGGAACTGAAGAAAAAGATTCAAACTTGACTTGCAGTATTAAAGTTTCCTAACTACCAGCTGCTCCACGGGAGAAAGATGAGGCTTTCTGCTCCCGTAAAGATTTACAGCCTCGGAAACCCTGTTCAGGGTCGCTATGGGTCGTAACCAACTCGACGGCACTTGACAACAACAACAACAACAACAACATGGACAGAATAT